GGTGTCTGTGCTTGGAGCGAAGGGTAGGAGGGTTCTCCTGGTTCGCGGACACGAGCTCCACCCTCTCCTGGAATCTCTGCGATGACACCTCCCCACGTCCCGGATCAGGGTCCCGGGCGCGAGGGAGAAAGCCTCACGGCCGCACTGCGGATGAGCCAAAGGGAGCGGGGAAGAGCCGGCGAGAAAAACATAGAGGGGAGACTCCTGGTGTTTGGTCCGAGGATTAAACCGAGATCCCGCTGTCCCCGAGCTGGGGGCAGTGCAGCGGCTGGAGGTAACCCGCCAGCCCACACGCTTCCCCTCCAAGCTTCCATGAGCGCAGGGCGCAACTTCTAACCTGAACTTTGCACGGCCAGAACGAGTGTGCCTAAGCCAGAGCCGTCTTGTCCCCGGTCCGCATCACCCGGACGCCGTCCTTGTCCACCCTGCACCCACTGTCATGAGGGGCAAGTCATGACTCCTCGCTGGCCAGGGTCCTGGCGCGGCGCCCCAGTTGCGCGCTCTTGGACGAGCGGGGATCAAGTGGGGGCGCAGTTTATCCAAAAGTCTTAGCAGCTAAAGCTAAGTTAGTCGACCCAGGTCCAACCCGGAGGCGGCCCTCTAGCCCGCGACCTAGCTCGTTCTCTGGACGCGGGTCCAGCTCCGCGCGTCTTCGCCTCAAGGGAGCGATTGCTGTCCTCTGCGGCCTGGGAGTGCAGCCGCCAAAGTCACCCAGGTGGGTGTGGAGGGAGCTCAAACCTCCCCAGCCTTCCCAGTATCGAAGGCAGCCGATACTTGGCGCCGCAGCCAGGGATCCAGGCTGATCCCCGCCCCCGGCCCTCCGGAGCCGGGGAGTCTCCGGCTCCCGGTGCCCCCGAGCAGCGGTCAACCCTGCCTCGGCCGCGCCGCTCATACTCACCCGCAGCCGGCGCTCGCCGTGCGCGCTCCTCGCTCCCCGCCGCCTGCTGTCTCCCAGCCGCCTCTTGGCCGGTCGCTGCAGCCCGGCTGCCCCGGACCGCGAGGGGGCAGGGCGGCGCGGGGCGGGGCGCAGCCGCGGTCTCAGGTAACAATGCTGCAGACGAGGCAGCTCCCAGCGCCAGCCGCAAAGGACAGCACGCCCTTTCCTGCTCGGCTCCTTCCACCCTCCGAGCACCAACGTCGGCGCTGAGGCGCTCACCTTCACCTGCTGGGGGCCCCAGGGGCCCGGAAGCCGCCCCTGGGCACGCTGCTCCCCGCGCCCGAAGGCTGGCGCGGGGGCCACCGAGGGAAGTAGGGGTGGCGGAGGACGGAGATGTACGGACTGTGAAGAGCCAGGTGTCCTCGTGGAACCAGCAAGGGGAGGCGCCAAGCTGGCTTCTGAACAGGCAAGTGCCTTCCACAAAGGAGCCTCTGCGGCAGCCTCCCCGGCACCTTCCCCTGCGCACAAGCGCGCACTCACACGTGCGCACACGCACCCTCCTGCACGTACACACTCCGCGCGCGCACACACACACACACACAAACGCGCGCCTGGCCGCCCTCTGCCCCACACTTGTTTCTCCCTAGAGCACTAGGCAGCGCTTGAGTGAACCGTCCTAGCCCGTGTCGCCTAATCCCAGGCGGGCCGGGGCTTCCCAAAGGTCAGCTCCTCCCTGGGGCCTGCAGACCTGTAAATTTGTTACTTTTTTTTTTTTAATCGCCTCAATGATGATGGTAACAGGAACCTTTCAGTTATATATAAGCACAAAAAAGAAAAGGTCCACTCCAGGCCTGATCGCATGAACAGACGCTGTCTGGGAAAGACTTCTCACAGGAGGAAACCGGGGAACAGTTGAATCGCATCGTTTTTCAAAGTGATTTGTGATGCCAAGCAGTGAGAAACAAGTAGTCAAAGAAAACCCAGCCCGGGCAAACCGGCTGATCGGAAATCGGCTGCAGGATTGGGGAGGCGCCCTCTGCGGGGTGAAGTCATCGCTACCTTTGACTCGGTGATCCCAGATAACCGACCAGAGCGCTTCCAGACTCTCGTGCCTGATGACTTCGTCTCTCCACCCTGGTCTTCAGCCCCTGAACTCCTAAGACAGAATTCCTAACCTCCATATGGATGGAAAAAAGAGAAGCTATTAGGGTGAAAACTAAAACAAACAGAAATCAAACCAACAAAATCCATGCCAGCCAATAGCTCATTTCTTAGCTGTTGACCAGGCTTACACTCACCATGAAGAGAAATAGATTCAACTAAGACCCCAGAAAATCTCAAGGAGTGGGAAATGTATGTAGTAAAAGAAGACAGCCCCATGCGCAGAGAGTTAAGATTAATCCCAAAAGAATATTGACTGCACAGGTAGTGTTAAATTACAGAATATGGAAAGTGAAGTGTGGAATGGCATCCTCTCCTTTTCTTTTATGTCAGCCCCGCCAGATGAGAAGTCCGCTTCCCCCAATGCAGACTTCCTGCTCTTCAAGCCCCCCTCCAGCCTGGGCTTCCCTCACACTGTACTGAGAGTGTGCACTCTAAAGTCAGTCCGTTTTTTGAGGGGTCAAGTCCAATGACCCATTCTCAGCTCCCAGTGCCTTTGATCTCCCTGCAGCATCCTGGCCTACAGGCCTTCTCTCTGCCTCTCCCGCCTCCTCTGCGGAGCCTTCTTGTCCTTTAAGGAGTAACTGGATTCTTTCAACTCTTTACCTCCCTTTATCCCATGGGTACTGTCTTCTGACTTAAACCTGGACGGGTCCAGATTTTGCGGGGCCTGAAGCTTGTACAACTCTTGATGGAGCTTTTTAAAGAAAAACACAAAAACTTACAAACACAACACTAGACATGTGTCCTTGTCTAGTGAGGGGTGTGCAAAGTTGAGTTCCGAGGTAAATCTACTTCTGATTTCACCTCTATGCCAGGGACTCTTGGAACCATATTGTCCCTGTAAATATCTCAAGTCCAAATTCAATGCCCAAAAGTCAACCCATCTTTGTCTCAAAATTGGTACTTTTCCTGCCCATACCCCTTACTTAAGACCTGATTTTAAAAATTTGACATCCCAGCTTTCCTCTGGCTTTTTTTCTCTTCTAAATTCCTTATATCCAAGTATTTGCCAAATTTGATGCTCTTTCCCAAGTAATCTCTCTTACATTTGGACTTCACATCCACGGCCACTGCAGTTGCCCCAGTTACAGGAAAGGGAACTGATATTTATTTGCTGTTAGCCACGTGTCAGGCATCACACTTGATCCTCACAACAATCCTAGAAACCGTACATTCTCTATTTTTCTAGCTTAGAGAAGTTAACTCGGATTCCTGTGTCCAGTGCCTCGGTGTTCTTTCTCCTTCTCTCTTCTCTCTGCTTTGCTCTCAGGTCAGTGTTTTTTAAAGTCTGATTTCATCACATTACCTACCTGCTCAAAACCTCCTATAAGTTCACATATGTGCCTACTGGAAAAAGGTGGCCTTCTTCAGCCTGACACTGTGGCAGCATATTCTACCTTCATCTTCTACAGTTTGAAGCGTCGCGTTCCACTCGAGCAGCATTGTGTGTGGCCCCTGTGTCATGCTTCTTTGACTCTTATTTTCTATGCTGTGTATATTAGGAGGCCAAAAAGTACTTGGACAGAGCAGAGCACAACTCTCACATAGAGTTAATGTCTCGATGGATTGGATCTAAGGCTGCAAATCTAGAAGGCGATTTATTCTTCATCTATTAATATGTTGGTTGTTCAGCACAGCCTCATCTCACCTAAGTTTGTGCTTTAGAGTTAAGATCTGCTGTCCGCCTGTGTCCCCAAAAATGTGCCAGCCACTCTGTCTGCGAGGAAGGCTAGAAAGACACTTGAAGCCAAGGGGGCCCAAAGTCAGTGCAGCCCCTGGAATTTGTGGCTTGGAGATGGCTGCTGTGGCTACTGCAGGGGCTCTTGAGCAGTGGGCAGTGTGGCCAGCTTGCACTTTTCCAATAAAGCCAGACCTCTCAGGGAGCATATTAGCAGCTCAGTGTGGCCCAGGCAACGGGCCTTACAGGTGCCAGCTCCAAGCCCTCCAGAAGAAGCCTCTGTCTGCAGCTTGCTCTTCCCTCTCCCCAGGCTGTCCTCTCCAGATTGCTCCATGTCCTTTGCTCAGTTCATTTTTCTTTCTTCTAGTGTTACCTTCTCAACCCTGAGAAGCTTTCAGTTTCTCCTACATCCAGCATTTTCTATTTGAATCTGTCATTAGGAGCCACTAAACAAAGACTTCAAACCAAAATGAATCAGATTTCAGGATCCATTCTAAAAAATACCTTACAGTTCTAAAACAGGCCTATTTGCACAGAGAGTGAGTCTAATCTGTGAGCTGATTCATGGGCCCTCTAGGGGACCACAGTGGACACATTGAAATGAGTCCCCTCTCGCATAGGAATGAGGCATCAAACTGATTTTTGTGTGTGTGTGTGAGGAAGATTAGCCCTGAGCTAACATCCGTTGCCAATCCTCCTCTTTTTGCTGAGGAAGACTGGCCCTGGGCTAACATCCGTGCCCATCTTCCT